CTGCAGAGCTGTGGGAGTTAATTTCACAGATCATCAACCAGCTTCAGTCTCTTATCACAGATATGGAAACTGTCTTTAGTTGAAAGACAACATCTCTACTGTGGTTTAACTGCAGAGCAGATGCACTACAGCTAAGTATTTTACAATATTAACCATATTGTTCTTTTATTTGAATATAATAAACAAATGTTCTTTCTTCAGATGGTGGAGTTTAACTGTAAGATGTGGTTGACAGCTCCAGAAAGAGCAACAAACCTTGAGTTCAGAACATTTCAAAGGCAAAACTATTCAGATTTGTAAAAGAAATATCTTCAATAACTTTAAAAAAAAAACTGAATCAATAAAACTGAATCATTAATTTGGACAACAAGTTTGTAAAAGTATAACATCAATCACTCAGCCCCAGGACCCACTATCAGCGCTGATGTTTGATTTGAATTAGCGGCTATAAACTTTATAAACTTTATAAACTCACACACCGTCAACGACTCTGCGTACATCCGATATGTACGCAGGAAACGAGTAGAAAACTCCGGGAGGACGATGTGACGACAGACCGTGACCTGCCAGGTCCACCGCCACGTATCTGCACTCTGAGAGGAAGGACAGAGACGGTTTGAGTCAAGACATCACTTCTTTAAACTGAATTAAAAATTAAAAACTCTTTCAGGAAAATGTTTAGAGTGCTGAGCAATACAAACCCAAATCCACCAGCTACAATTGTACTGTCAGTGTCCTGGTGAAGGGCAGTGGTGATATTTTCATTATCAAATAACATGTTGATATGTGTACACATAAAATAGCGGAGAGAAACTGAAGAAACCGGCATCCAGTTTCAGTAGCAGTAAATGAATTCTCATTCCTCATCAATTAAAGCCCCCAAACGGAGACTTTGTTGGTTAGATTTGTATTTTTGAGGGTATAAGAGTTAAAACTGTTGCTGTGAGAGCAGGGACAGTTTTTACATGAGATCTCCAGTTTTCTACAACAACACTTACCTTTGGGTAGAAGGGGAACGAGGTTGTTGAATGTACCACAGTTGTCAGCCCAGCCGTGCAGGCACAGCACAGGACGACCGTGGTCAGGACCCCAGACTTTACCTCTCATCTCGCCCCATGGCACCGGCACAGAGAGCTCTGAAACTGGACACATACACAACTTTTAAGCTAAATGTAAACACTTAATGCTGTGATTCAATAATATGATATCAATAATGGTATCAAGGTGCAAAGACCGGATCAGTTTCACTTCACAAATGGAAATATGGATTGTTTTGCACAGTTTATAGCCTACCTCAGAAATAAGAAAAGAAAATATCAGATAAAATTGTAGATTTTTGTAGTCATAATTTGTCTTTTGTTAAAAAATAACATGAATTGTATCGTATCATCTCTATTTATTTCCCCAATGTTTTATTAAACAAGTTAGAAACAGATGAATTACGGCACTACAGTACGGTGGTACATGAAAGATTCATATAATATGAGGAATTAAAACCGGTGAACAGGTTCATCCCGTATATCGCCCAGCACTACACACACTGATCCTCATCCTCGTAATAATACATCTCTAAAACACAGCTCAAAGAAAGCTCTGTTCACATTTAACTGTCTGTTTATCTCCTCCCCTTGGCTGTGTTCACTGTGTTACTGTTATATAATAATGCAATTAAATGTATGTTTGATTGTTGATTGTTTATTTCCTTTCAACATAAACATTTAAATGGAAATCAATGGCAGTCTTTCAATAGCGTCCATGTTATTTTATCCAGAAATGATTACTTGATTGACAAAATAGATATCCTATTTCATATTAGAGCTTCTTCTGTTTCATAACAATAGTTTTATAATTGTTTTTAAATATTTCCCATGCTATATAACCTAAAGACATAAAATCAATGTAAAACATTATTACTGCACTGAACACATTGGGACGCACCTCTTCATATTGTATTTTTAGTAATACATTTATTACAATAATGTTTGGTATTGATGGTATTGATGTTGACTCACACACAAACACATCTCAGATTCAGCTGACATATAAACCTTTGTTTACTTTCGTCTCCTCTGTAAAGCAGCTGTTAAGGTTTTAAAAACGCCTGCACTTACACTTATAATACTAATACTTTTAATTACACATATAGTTAGTTACCTGCTTGTTTCAGAGTACCGGAGTTCAGGTGTCTGATGCCTTTCAAAGCCTGCATCATGTTGGAGAACCAACCGGAGTAATTAAAACCTGTACAAAGTAAAAACAAACAACAAACAACAAAACAGAAACTGCAGCCAACCTCAAACTTAAATACTCTTCCAGTGTTTGTGACACTCAGTGCCGGTTATCCGGGTGTTAAATAACCACGTGACGCCAACTGAGGCTGCTATTGGATGGACGGACACGTGGTTCACCAGTCTGGACCAATCAGCGCGGAGCAGAGGAGGGGCTTACCTTTTACCTTTTACCCATTGTGACGGTGAGCGGCAACCAGCAGAGGGCCACTGTCACACAGATCACACCTGGAGTAATGTCAGTGCGCTTTTATAATAATACTAGAACATAGAGCAGGTCTACATCATACTCTTTATAATATACAGTCATCATACACAGACACCAGGGAATAGTAACATAAGGAAACACAGTGGCATGGTATGAAATTATATATATACTTTAATAAAAAGGCAGTGGCAACTATTTCAAAGTCTGAAGCTGTGATTTAAAAGAGTTGGAGCCGATCTGTTTACTGGCAGTTTGATCCAGACACGAGGAGCATAAAAACTGCTTCTCCAGGTTTAGTTTTGACAGTAACATAAACCACTCAGTGTTTTATTATAATATCTTTTACAGTTTCTAATTCACAACTAAATAAGTGGAGTATAGATGGATGTTATTAAAGGGGGTAAACTGATTTCATGTCGTTAATCAGCATTTATAAAAGCATTATTAAAAAGTTATGGACTGTGCTTGATTGATACCTACCTGGTTCTCCTGTTAGCTTAGTTGCAGCTGTTTGATACCTATACTTTAAATCATTATTATTAATACAGAAGATGCGGGGCCTTTGATAAAACATTTGGGGCAGGAGCCCAAGAAGCCACACCCCGCTCCGCCCCTGGCTGCAATCGAGAGAGAAACACATCTGTGTGTCATCTGCACAGAACTAGAAACTGATATATATCTTTGAACTCTGTAACTTATTGGTAGTTTATAACTTGAGAATAGGGCTCATTGCTTATAGGCGGCCCTTAACTTAAAGGAGCTAAGGAGAATTTAAAGTCACCAATGGCAACACAACATGACCTTATAGTGAGTGATAAATAAAACTAATTTAAAACAATTACAGCTATATCCTATACATATGTAATACATGCAATCAAGCCAAATGAGTAAATATGTTTGTCCTGTCCAGAGGGTTTTTATAACTGCTGAAGGGACGAGTTATGAAGGAGTTATGAAGGAGTTATGGAGGAGTTATGAAGGAGGTGTAAAGAAGTCGGTTTTATGTCTGAACTGTATATTTTTAATGTGCATGGTTGATCCGAGAAAATGTATATTTTGATACAAAACATTACAGGTGGTTTATAGGACACATTAGAGCTCGCCTGATGTTGCATAACCTTGACTTCCTGCGTGTGTCTGTGTGTCTGTCAGCACGTGTGCATTTTAATGGGATTTCCATCAGAGGCATTTTACAGATGGTTATGGGTTTATTACAGTGATCTTGTACACTGTTGTCATTCTCGTATAAAGCATCTTTTTACATCTTGATATGAGCATTATGTTATCAGTTCTGTGCATCAATAGACTGTATACATTATATACATTTCCCTTTGTCATGTTAACCATTTCTCTTTATCAGGTTTATCGTGCAGATTGTTGTTATTGTTTGATGTGTTTTAATTGTTTTATTGGTTCCCCTGTGCGTAAATAGTGAAGTAAATTGAACCGTACTCAATTGAAATGTCCCATGTTTAGTTAAAATAAGTTTGGAGGCTGTAATTCAGTGAGTAGATCCTCTTTCCTCTGCTGTATCTTTTGTGCTGCACTTGGCCTAAATGCAGGATGTGCACACAATCAGCTTCCTGTATCTGTGAAAAAAAAACATAAAACAATGGTCGTGTCAAAGTTAACAACACAGTCCCCATTGTTATCACAAAGTACCATTAAATAAACCTTAGTTATCACAAAAAAAATCTATGTCAAACATAAGTCAAAATAATTATAGTGCCAAAAACCCCCCATCATTACGTGTTATCTGGGCTTTTCTTCATGAAAAGAACCCTTTTAAACGTGCCACAATGTTCAGTTGTGCTTATCCTGCCTCTCTGTCCCTCCTTTCAGCCACATTCCCACCTCTCCAGCCCCTTCATTGCCATTTCTCTACCTGTCCGCCAGAAGCCCTCTGACGTTTCCACCTGTCCCAGTCACCTGGCTCCCACATCCAACCACTCCGTCCTGTCCTGCAGTAACCCCTCTCTCTCTATTCAGTGCGGCTGAAAGGAGGGACAGAGAGGCCGAACGAGCAAGAATAAGGCAGACATTGTGACTGAATGTCTTTAACACAATACAGTTCACCAACCTCAAAACCTGAGCAGAAAGTCGACACCCAGCGCTTTCAAATAGTTTCAAAAACAGACAGTAGAGTTAAACCACTTGTCTGTGTCAAACACCTTTTAGCTGCTCTTAAATCAATGAAGACCTGAGTTTAGTGGCTTAATATCTTCACCTTCACATGCACTAAAAATGGAGCAATGCATCATCCCATCACATCGCAGACAGAACATGAATCCATCTGCCACACATACTGCTTTCTATTCAAGAGAGTTAATATGATGGGACAAATAATTACATGAACACAAGTTTTTAGTTTCCCTTAAATGTTATTGCTTTGCTTAAACACAAACCTGGTGACCCAAACACCGGCTGTGACACACACACACACACACAACACACACATACACAGAACAACACACACACAACACACACACACACACACACTACACACACACACACACACTGTTTGCATATCTTTTTGGGTTTGAGATTAAGCAGGGCATGTAAAGGCCCAATGAGATAAAACTGAAAATAAGAGGTCTCTCTCTGAGTCATAATTAATTCATTATTAACACAAAAGTTTCCAGATTAAGTTCAGAGGTGTTGTCAAGAGATTTGAAGAGACGTGCGGTGAGAGAGGTAGACAACTGGGCGGGCTGAAATAATTTGGTGACAGGGGAGAGGGAGGGAGTATAAAAGGTCAGTTTTGGTGGAGGGTGAAGTCAGGTCAAGAAGAATTTGGTATAGATTGGGTATAGTCGCGCAGGATATTTCACTTCATTGCAGGTAGGTATTGTCTTTATTAATTGTTATTTGAATTTTAGAATAATTCCCATTTATTAATAAAATATGTGTGCTAAGAGTTAAAGTCAATATAACTGAAAAATAATAACAATGGTTTGATGAAAGCAGATTTTGGTAATAAATTTGTGTTTAGAATAAAAAGATATACTTACTTTTGTTATTTATCATGCATTCAGGATGCAGAGAAATGTCCTGAGAAATGAGTTTTTAAAGATTTTTGTGCCATTAAATCAAATTAAAATTGATACAAGAAAAAAAAAACAGTATTAGAAGAAATTAAAATGTCCCTGAAGAAAAGAAAAACCTATTAAAGAGTAAAATATCTTTTGTTTACATGCTTTATATTAACATGTGACAGCTTTAAAAGCATCAGCAGTGCGTCTGATTCCACTGCACATAAAATATGCAGGGTTACGTTGCAGACTCAGTGAGGGCAGCTGAGGTAACATATATGCCTCTTTATAGTAATGAGTTGCCCTTGTATGAAGTGGTTCTTGGCTGCTGGCCATCAAATTAAACAGAAGAAAAGCAATAAGATATGATTGTTTGTGTAACTTGACATGGTCAGGACATGTTTCTCTCTGATGGTTCCTTTTATTTTCAGTGACAGAATCAGTGTTTTTGTGACCCGTCTCGCTGTCTCCCTCAGATCATGGCCGACTATGACATGGTTCTGAAGTTCTGGGGGCCAGTGGAGGCTGACTACAAGGCCAACGGCGGCCTGGTTCTGACCCGGTCAGTGATTAACCCTTCCCTGTCGGTCAGCTGGTTTGCAACGGCTGTAAGCCAGCAACACAGGATGCTTTTATTTATTCGCTTCATTGTTCACTTATATTTTAATCACGAGTTTAATTTCCTAATGTGAAAGTCTAAATATCTACAAACTGTGGTGTTATCTCTGGTGAAACCTCACATTTCCTTTTCTTCTCAGTTTATTCACAGAGCACCCAGACACCAAGAAGCTGTTCCCCAAGTTTGAGGGCATTGGCCAAGGTGATCTGGCTGGTAATGCAGCTATTGCTGCCCACGGTGAGACTGTGCTGAAGAAACTCGGAGAGTTGCTGAGGGCCAAAGGCAACCACGCTGCCATCCTCAAACCTATGGCCAACAGCCACGCCACAAAGCACAAGATACCCATTAATAACTTCAAGGTGAGGATCACGTACATGAGGTCAAGTTGCATCCTATTTTTTTGTGTCCTGATTCTAAAGCAGACTGTGTGTACTTCCTCTGTACTTTCTCTTCAGCTGATTACCGAGGTCATTGTTAAAGTCATGGCGGAGAAGGCGGGACTCGATGCCGGCGGGCAGCAAGCCCTGAGGAACGTGATGGCCGTTGTCATCGCTGACATTGACGCCTCCTACAAAGAGCTGGGCTACACCGGCTGAAGATTACAGTCCCATGAGTTGAGCTGGGGTCAGATGATTGACAAGAAAATTTCCCACATGCATGTCCTTTTTTTGAAAATGAAACAGTTTAATCCTCTGTATAGATACATTAACTAATTTACAATTAAAGGAAATCCATTACAGCATCACCCTACGAGTTAAAGAACATAATAAGCTTTACAAATATATCTTTTATTGCAGTATTATTGCACTAGATTGTGTTAGATGGTAAAAGTTTTTCTGTCATTGTCAGTCCCTCCAGGCAGTTGCGATCGCAACAATAAAAAGCAAATTTGAAATTTTGTCCTTTCAACGAATCTTTTCTGCAAATTTGACCAATCATTGTAGTTTCCTACTCAAAACTTTCAGCCATACATCAAACTTGTTTATCCTGTCCAAACATTGTCATTTTTTCCTCACTGGATCAAGTTACCTTCGATCTTTAATGAATTGAATGAATGAAAAATCCCCCACAATTGCACCCATTTTTTTGCAATTTTCACTTTGTCTCACAGTTTCATTGGAAAAATGCCCCAAAACATGGCAACATGCATTGCAATCTTTTATAAAAACTGCCATGAATGAAAGTATTTTTAGGCTGCAAGAATCCCCTCAAAAAGCCTGTGAAATCCTGCTGTAGCTGCTTATTAATTAACATGTTCTTTATTTTAGTTAAATGAGATTAATCTTTAGGATTCTTGTCTAACAACATACTGTAAACCCTTGTCACATATTAACAATAAAATTCTGTCTCTCTACTCTGCTCGTTATTTGTAAGTTTTATTCCAAGATCATTGAAAAACAACATCACAGACACATGATCAGTCTGTTTCATTAGTCACTTCCTGTGTCCCCAAAGGGAAAGTGAGTTATAAATCAGTTCTGATAAACTAACTGCTCATTATAAATAATAAAGTATGAAATGAAGGATGTGGCCTGAAATCCAAATCCAGCACACTGTTAGAGCCTGACAGTCCAGATAGGAATCAGGTCCAGACTAAAGCTCTTAACATCAAGTGCATGGACACACACGTACGCACGCACATACTCCACAAACAAATGCACACAGATACAGAGGCACATAAAATAAAACCCCACTTGAACACTTCACCCACAGCAATGTCACCGAAGACCGCCGTGCTGATTATCTTTTAGACTCAGACTTCAGTTCTTAGTCACCTGATCCAATGTGGACGTGACGGCGCAGGGCCTCTGGCAGCAGCCATACTGGGGACTTTATCGCTCTTTCAACTTCCTGTACCAGCCCTCCACTTTCCAAGAATTAGTCCTCCTCAATCTGTCCTCCTCATTTCCCACCCCTACACCGGTAAAGTGTCAAGTCCTATCACTCAGAGGGAAGTTAATCTATACTTGCAACCCCTCGTCACAGATTGCATGTGAGCAGGTCAAAGAGATATTTTTCCTTCACACGTTGTTCAGTTTCAATTAGAGGCCAAAGAGGTGAAATGATCCAGTATTTCACAAGGACACTTCCTCTCTTGACCCTTCAGGTTTGATTAAATGTTTGCTCTATAAAATGTTAGAAGAGAGTGAAAAAATACCCAATTCAGTTAATAGAAATATAGAAAGATATTCACTTTATGATGCTGCTGAAGAGAGAAAAGGTGCAAATCTACATATCTGAGAGGCTGCAACCAGAAAATGTTTCCAGCTATGCCATTAGCAGGACTCTGGGGATGCTTGTCGGTCCGCTGCTTTGGTGTAATATCTAATAGTTTCAGCTGTTGGCTCACTGGAGAGACTCTGCTACACTAAATGGAACAGAACCATAATTAATGTCATGTTCATCCAACAGTGGACCATTTTAATATTAAATGGTATGGTGGATTGCCATGAAATGTTATAAGAAATGTTACACTTAATGGTCCCCGGAGGATGAATACTGCTGACTTAATCCTCAGACTTTTCCTCTAGCGCCACCATGAGGTTGACATTTGTGGGTTTTTATTGAATCAGTCCATCCAGTAGCCCGGGACAGACATTCATAGTCCCCTCTGGATGAACTGTAATGACTTTGATCCTGTGACCTTTAATGTAGCGCCATCATCAGGTCAAACTGTGCAGTGAAGATAACAACTGGAGATGATGCAGATATCAATGAGCCACTCTAAGGCTTGTCAAAGACCTCCGAGGTCTTTCATAAAGGTGGTGGAGTGAAACACAAAATGTGTCAATGGCACATTAGAGGTCACTCAAAGGAAAACCACAGCATTTATCTCAATCAGTGGAAAGAAGCGGTAATTTATTTTGGTTGAGCAGTAAAGTTTTGTGATGAGGAGCCCAGAGAGTGGAAGATATTGGTGTTATCAATCATTGTGTTATCATTGACATTCCAAAGTCCCACTGACCCCTTGTTGTCCTCACAGTTTCTGACCTGATGCCATAACTGTGTTTGGTTAACTTGTTTAATGGATAATTGCCATCATGGACTATTAATAGTGTTTGTGT